AGGATTCCTGAAATACATTGCTTGTCACCGCCGATCCTCCCCTCCTTGGATCAAGAATTGTGATAGATGTAAACCAACAAGGAGAATTATGTGAGGAATGACGCCAGAGATGAATCCTACAATAAATCAGTCTGCCCTCTACTATCTGGATGCTTTTTTTGTCGAGTGATTCAGGCCCTAGAAATGGGATCTCTCACGAGAGTAGGATGGACACATGAGAGTCATTATGTTGCACCTCAACATGTTTTGATGAATTTGTGCTATTTCTGCAAAGTGAGGAAAGGAGTTTCTGTCCTGTCAGCTGAAAAATGTTAATAATGTTGGATGATGCCAAATATAGATATATGGAAGCAACATTTTTTGCAATTTTGACATTCTTTATATGCAAAAAATGTGTTTCTTAATCTCAAGAATTCCTGAAATAATTTGTTCATAATGATAAAAGGGCTTTCAGAGTGACTGCACAAGTAAGCATGCCTGGTCAGTGAAAGATTTGAATTCCAGTGAACAGTGATCATTGAAATACTATGATGAATGATTTAACAATATGGATAACGGCACTACTTAACATATCTCAGAAAGAGAAAAAAAAGGATTAAAAAGCTTTCTATTTTCACTCAGGAATATTGGCTGTCTCCAAATCAAAGTCGAGTCAATCACAATTTTACCACTTTCATGAGGGGTGTCTGGATAATGGATGCAATTTCTCACTCCTGCTCTCAAACTACCGCAGATGTCAGTGACACACAGTGAGGTAATACATCAAGGTACACCTAGATGTAGGCATAGCAATGTCTCAGGAAAACTAGGGGGTTTTCCATGATGAATGCAACCTCTTCTCAGATCTCACCTTCTGTCTATTTGCTTTTAGTAACACAAGATGAATGGGGTCAGATAGAAGCAGTTTCCAGTCACACTTTTTGCTTGTAAATCTTGGCATTGACTTGGGTTTTTGGCATTCCTTGGAGAAAGATGTATTTACCTGACTGAAAACAAAAATATACATGAACTGCATGTATGTTTATTCATGCCGTTTCTATGGTCTTGGGGGTTTGAGAAAATGGGATACTTTTTTCACATCGCAGATGGATGAGAAAAAGATTTGAAATGACATGCGATAGAAAACAAAGATTAAAATCTGGTACCGACTGTCAAAACCATTGGAAAATAATCCACAATTGTTTTTTGGTGGTTGATTATTTCAACAAAAATCACAAATATCAGATGATCGATGCACATTGAACAACTCCTAGCTGTAAATTAGACATCTTACGTGTCAGTCCAAACTCATCAAGAAAATCTTACGCTCAAACACATATCCGATAGGTGCTAAGAGAAGGAGTGACATAGTGCAATGATATTAATCATTCATTCCATATTCCCAAATCAATTTCCAATATTTCCCACCTCTTATAAACGTCCATGGGGAGGGCAGATCACTGGGCCATACATGCTCTCGTGCGTTATCCTCTCTATCACCAACCTTGAATAACACTCAATCTCCCACCGAAAAGTAATGACCATGATGCGTGAAATGCCCCAGATATTGGGCGTGGGATGGCCGGCCAGGGCATGAGAAAATAAGCCGAGACAGTAGGCCTGTCTTCATCGGCTCAAAATAACCCGCTATTTTAACTATCCCGATCACAAATTATCCAGCTAATTTGCGTCTTCTTTAGCCCGCAGTTGCAATTAGCGGGATATTTGGTCGATATAATCATCCCAAGATATCTTAAGCTAGTTTTTAAAATATCCTGCTATTTTCCGGTGCGTCTTCACCAGCCCGAAGACTTGCACTATGCGCGAACGCTGAGAAAAATATCTCGAGCTTATTTCTCAAGCCTGAGTCAAATCAGAAATTTGTGGGCTATTTGGCAATCTCGAGCTGATGATGACATACCTAGTAAGAGTTGATATGCACAGTTGTGCATAAAAGTGAGCAGAGAAGAATGAAAACATACTAATAGCCTTGGGTTTCAATTATGCACAGGGTGGGACGCGTTGTGGCATAAAGAAAAGATTCCATGGATTTTCATAAATAAACAATCAAGGACTGTTGGAGATTAAATAAATTAATAAATATATCTCATAAATTCATTCAAAGGATCACATTTTTACCTCTAGGAAGAGATAATCTTCTGTAGTTCATGGCAAATACCCCTTCGGTCATGTTTCAATGAATATAGAATAATGACATTTGTGATAAATTCATCTGTACGTGGTTTGTGATTATCATCATAATGCAGCTTCATTTACAGCGCCCAGGGATATATATGATTGTCATTTACCTCTCAAGTCAGATGATAGTACATTTTGCGTCTCCCTTTACACTGTCTAGGGAAATAGACCTGATTCTTTTTATCTGAGGCTGAGATAGATAGGCAATTCTTCTTCCTATTCTTCTCTCTCTCTCTCTCTCTCTCTGTTTTTTTGTCTTTCCTTCTCTCTCTCTCTCTCTCTCTATAGAAAATTTGTATTTTGTCTGACCTCACGGTATGTCCAGTACACGAAACAGCTCACCAATGCATTAAGTACAGTGTACGATACAGCTGTCTTGCGGAAGAGGTGACCTGAACGAGCTCATCTTCCTCCAAAAACATCCAATAAATCATCCTGTTACTCTGTATTTCTGATCATTCTTCCTACTTGCTATACGCCTATCCTTCGGGACAGCAAAATTACATTCTCCTATTCATTACACTCCCAATTGGCAATGAATGGAATTGGCATCCTCTGAGTCCTTCCAAGTACATCATATCTTGCTACTGAAAGATTGTCCCATCCTTCACATAATATTCCTGTTCCCTTGGATTTTGGTGAAGATTCAATTTCATGCAGGATTCTAGAAAAAAAGATTGGCAGAAAATTGTGCAATTACAGACCTAGTATAGTATCCAGGGCTAATATTGTAAGGGTAATGTATATACAGAGTGACCTAAACAAAATTTGACTATTTGAATTTGGAATCAGATTCACAAATCTGATTCAAGAAATTATCAAGTTACACATAGCTGCCCTTAGTTTTGGTATACCCTGGAATTACCTGGATAATAATAATTAGCACAGTACTGCATCCATGTCAAGCATGGAAACTTTTCAGAGTACTGGCAAACTTCACTGTACAAGCAATTGAAGTACTTCAACTCATCATCCAACATGGGATGAATCTCAAGGCAAACATATTATGGAACTGCAAGTACAATTTGAATTAGAGCTCTCCATTTAGTTAGCATATAATCTTGATCAAAGCTCAATGCAGGTGTACATTAAGTATGCATGTGATATATAGAGCTTTCCCTCATTGTATTTGTTTTCCACTGCATGAACAATAATTCTAGATTGAATTTACTGGAGAACAAATTAATCTAATATTCTCAGGAAATTTTCTAAAGTGGCTGTACTCATGCATACAAAGAATACAAACACACGCATGCACATACCCTATTCAGATATTATGTGTGGACACCATATAAAATGTAGGATGTAAATTGTAAAAACAAAAATAAAAAATAAGCCGATAAGTATTTTGAACTGCCTGCCAAATACTGACAAAAATCAATTATATAACCCCTATGGATATATAATGAAATGGAAACCATGGCTTAGAGTTGTGTATTTTTTTGGTATTTCATAAACAACAAGTCATATGCTTTGCCAGTATTTGACCTCCGACAAACAGGTGATTATTTTGCTATAAGGAAGAGCGGCAATTCTTTGATGTTGCTAATTCAATAAAGAGATCAGTTACTCTGAAGCTCAAAAAAGATCTGTGACCTTTTGTAGGTAACCAAAACAGTACATTACAGGTGATATGATATCCTTTATCATCACTGTTAGTTCAAATGACAGTTCAAGTTGATAACGCCACTCGGGATAAATTGAGTCAGCTCTAAAACTAGCAACATATTCGTGATATTGGAGTGAAAATGGATATCGTGGTTGATGATTTTTCTATTTAAAGACACTGTACACATCTCAAGGACCCAGTCTAAGTTTAACTTTGAACTACATATTATCATTTGATGATTCAGTGTGAAATCATATGACAACTTTTCTTGGGATCAAAAAGGTTGCAAGTTGTAAGGTAAATTGTTGAATTATTTTGGGCATTCAAAGTCGTTCTGCATAAACAGTATAAATTTAAAGAAGAGAGAATATTCCTTTAGAAAACATGGAGTAAAATACAATACAGGTATTAGTTTACACAAGATTACACATGTATTGAAGTTTAATCATTATATGAAGCGACCATTTTATCCTAAATTTGGATATCACCTTTAGATGCATGAATGTCATTACGATAGATATTATAAAGCAGTCATATAAGGTTCAAGCTCCAAAACTGCTTTTCAGTTAGTAAGTTTGTTTGTTTGTTTGATTGATTTTAGTTCATAGTATTCTTCTTGTCATCCATAATTTTCAACAAAAATACATAAACAAACAACCTCACGGTCATGTTCACTTCATGTTCTATATCAAAAACCATGTTTCGCATATCATAACCATATCATGTCTGAATCAATCAACCAATCCATGATTCTTCATAAGTTCCCCAAAGATTCACTATACTGTCATGCCATGCTGGAAAGCTGTTTGGCAAATTAAAAGCAGAAAGGGATAGCAATAAAACATATGTTATGGTATGGTGGTGAGACAGGGGAAAAGGTAACACTTACTATGTTAACATCTTACCCTGAAAGCAACTCAATTAAACATGTAATGCTACAGTTGACAGAATGACTTTATAAAGTTTATATACACATGTACATTGAAGGATGAATAAATACATCCCCATACTAATCAGTACACAGAGCAATGCTCAACAGAAACAATCAATGAATGAATACATCACTTTAGTACAAAATATTCAAATCATCTTTATCATGAAAAACAATAAATATGAAAATTCTTTGTATGTGTCCAATTCCTTACACTTTGCAGTACTGCTTTCAACTATATTTTGAAAGGTGAACAGCAACGGATGAAAAAGTACTTCTGACTGTGCCTCATTTGAGAAGAAACACTGAAAACAAGTCCATCATTTGTATTACTAAATGACTCAACAGAGATTTGATGGTCAGACAATCATACTCATGGTTGTTTGCTTCATACATATTCATGCCTTATCCTAGGGGCTTCCAGATCCTTAAACAAGGCCACAAATGAATATGCAGCATTTAGTGTTACTGTTATTCTGTTCCCTAGCTAGCCAGTGCAAAATGCATGGTTTTCATATATATCAGTCACATATAATGTAGACACAAACGTGGCATAGAGTCAATGTGTATGGAAGTAGAACTGGGAATGAAATGTAATTGAGCATGTAGTGAGCACAAATAACTAGCTGGCAAGTGACATTTGATACTTGTCCCTTCGGTTAGACTTTCAAATATATCATGAATGTTCTTCAAAGGTTATTAGAGTTCATGAAGCCACAGGAAGCAATCACAAACCTCTCTTTCTTTTCTTTTCACATGGGTACACCAATAGCAATATATATCAAAGAGATAACTTAATATAACTCTGAATTCCGGCTATATTTCCATAAATATGAGGGAAGAGTTTAAGAGTATCAATTCGGTTTGTCTCTTGTCAGAAAAAAATTTGTATACAAAATCTAAGAACAATATTGCCATTTTAGGCAAGATCTAGGCAAGTTTTTTCATAGGCAAGTTCTTTTGCTCTTCTTCAGCCTAATTCAGTCCCCTGTATTTGCTTAGCAACAAACCAACATCTATGCACTTTAGCAATTTTCATGCCCTTCTTCTCTTTACGTTAAAGAAACATATTTTTGTAGGGCTGCAAAATCTTTTTGATATCCCTTACGGTACAATGATAACATTGTGCATTTCCATTCAGTTTGATCAAACACAAGATAACTGCGGAACCCAGCAGTGCAGTTTCACCGTCCATCCCAAATGGAAATAATCGCGGCTCCAAATGGCTTAGGGATGAAGTGACTTTCACTCTGTTTTTCCTAAAAGGCAAGAATTAATGCACAACAAAACCTTGATACATCAGCGGACCTGCAAAGTCAGCTTCTCTGCAGTATGCTTTCTCCTTCTCCACATCACCTTTTATCTTATTTCATCTAGGGCACGATAGACGAGCTCCAGACTCGAGCCTTCGGGGAAACCATTTTGTATGCTATGCATTATTAATGAATGCATGCAGAATATTATAAGGAAGCTTGCTTTGCCTGTGAACAAGAGCCAAGTGTAAGTTGATGTAGTGTACATAATCTCAATGACAGTGTTTTGAATACATGCAGTATGCTATGTAACTCCTTCTAAAATTGAAAAAGTGTAAACAAATTGAATTGACATTTTATAATAGTGTTCAGAACTCATTTACATACAAAAACACTCAGTGGTTTTCTGTTTTTTTGTTGACATTTACAATGTACAACAAATTCTTAATGCTTTCATTGCCCACTGAATAATGATGATTATCAAGGGCAGATTTTTCTATTGCAAAATTGAATGCAATCTTATTATTCTTCATAAAAATACAATGTCTATCTTTTTTTTAAATACTAGAAAAATGCTAAATGACCCACTCTGTACAAGAACAAGGGCACGTACAGCCAGCACTATGACGGCGGTGTGTGCTCTATACCAAACGCACATACAAAGATGTTCATGAATACGATGCAGAACACAAGCGCTGTCGCAAAGTTGTTGATCCAGTCCAACTTGCGTTGTTTGTAGACATCGTTGAGGTTGTCGCGGCCCAGTAGGAGCAGGAAGACGATGACGATGATGAGGAGTACGATGGAGAGGATGACCAGGGCAGTCACAAAGCCATGGAATTGATTCTCTTTGCCCGCTGTGATGATGGTCTTGAGTTGAGCAGCGTTGGCCGCCAGAAGGGCAACCACCAGGAAGCCCTCGGCTATAGTCTTCTTGGTGGCATACAGGTTGAAGTCTATCGGAGGTGGTGGAGGGTTCTGAGCATGGAGAATAAAAGAGAAATTTGATAACTTGAATATTACGAAATGAGCTTCAGTTTGGGGAAAAACAGCTTATATCGATGAAGGGCAAACATTGTAGGATAGAAAAAGTGAGAGGAATATATATTCATAAAATGTTAACAGACAGGAGGATGCACAAAAATTACAAGAAATTTAAAATACCTTTAAAAAAGAACAATGTCACAATACTGTAATTCCTTGAATTAAGACCATCTGGTAAAATACATACAGATCAATAAATATCTGAAGGCAACCCTTGAGTCACATTCCAAAACAAAGAACAAAATTATTCTTTAGACCTCTATAGATTCAAAGCAAACCGATACACGTACAGCAAACTGATTTACATATATATACATGTCTATGCTAACTCCCGTTCACTGTTATGAATAACTTTCAACATCTGGTACCTTAAAAAAACAAGATAGAAAGGGAAAAAAGATATCTGGTGCACAATACGTAACCTTACATTGTCCATATGGACAATGCACTTCACAAGTTCACAATGCTACCAAATTTCATATTTCACACGGTTGACGAAACACATGCAGACATCTGCAACCAGACACCATTTTTCTTGTTTGCTTAAATTCTCTCTCTCTCTCAACCAATCTCTCACAGCTCTCCACTTACAGGAGCATCAAATTAATGAAAAAAATCATACCATCGGCTCTATAAAATAACAGAGATGTTAATGATTCAGATGATTTTATTACCAATTTCTGTTCTCTTTTAAGTTATTGTATCAACGTTCAAACAGAGATCATTTAGCTAAAGTCTATTTGTGTATATGAAAGTCAGAATGTATCATGTCCGAAATAGTGTTAAAAGGATTATTCAAATTATAGTTTTCAACTTCTATATTGAAATGTTCACCTTCTAAAGCAATAATCAATTATTCTGCATTAAAAAAGCCAGGTACATGTAATTAATCCTGTGGGTTTTATTGTCCACTTGCAAAAAAACACAATTTTGTAAAACTGTGCCTCTAACCATCATAATTGACTGAATTCACATCAAAATAGGATTCTATTCTATTCTACCTTTAAGCAGCTAGGCAGTGGTTTCTCCTCTGAGATTAGGGTCAATGGGTTTATCGATCAGGAGAGGGGACTGGTGTGAAAAGATGAGAGTCTTGGGCCACCAACAGAACCCAAGATGTGGCATGCTTAATGAATTCTGGTGTCTCAAGCCAGATCAAGTTACCTCCAGTAAAACGGAGAGCAAATTACTGATTCTTATGCACCGCACACCACCTCATTTCCTCTGATTTATACCTCACAATGGGAGCTCGATACGGCTCTTTAAATGTTAACCGAGTGAAGTATGAAGCCTTAAGTACCCAATGCACTTTGAGAGTGAGATATGAGGTTTATATTACATCTAATGCTTGTCAAATTCTTGCATCAATGTGCAAAATGATATGAAACCGTCTTTCTTGAATCTACCTCTCAATTCTGCTTTAAAAAAAATTGAACGATATTGAACTATTACTTATATTCTGTAAGCAATTCCTCAAAATTGTCATTTCCTCCTCTCTATGTCTCTCTCTCTCTCTCTCTCTCTCTCTCTCTCTCTCTCTCTCTCTCTATGTATATATATACTCCTTCTGTCCCCTATCCTTATCTTTCTTTTCTATTAGTTTCTCTTTCTCCCTATTTCTCTTTCTCTTACTTTCTCTCTTAATCCTTTGTACAGGTCTTAATCATAAATAGTCCACAACTAGTATCACTTAAAGTGTAATAAAATTACACCATATCATAATTACTAACGATCATACACATTTAAGACACAAAATCCATCAATGAGTCTGCTACCTCCATATTTGCGAGCTGCATCTCGAGTTCTTCCATACTAACAGTCGGCCTTGTCTCAAATGGAGGGTATCTCCTTGGGGGGCGTCCCCCACAGCACAAGGAACCTATCCTCATGGTGGTATAGGTATGTCTCTTGGTGATAGGAGGTGAAGAGCTTCGACTGCGGGCCCGGTATGTCGCCGGGTTAGCCATGTTTCCATAGCAGTCCCACACCACACTATAATCAACTCTCAAAGCTTGGATGAATGAAGCACTTAACAATGTTCGATCCAAGGAAGCGCTCTTCAAGGAGGCGTCTCAACTCAATTAGTAGCTTTTAATTATTCCAAGCGAAGATACACGATCCGAAAGTGCATTAGAGATGCCTCAACAAGGACAAAACAGTGACGAGCTACTCAATACTGAGTGCACTGAGATACAGTCCCAACATATCTTCCATAATTCACAAATATGCATCCCTTGGCTGCGATCGAGGCAAACAGCCGGCCATAGTAGTAAAACCAGGAGCAAAACATCACCGCATGGTAGAAATCCTCTGCAGAGAAGAGTAGCGTAAATGGGTAATCGAAGGTAGATGGGAGATGGAGAAGAGGGGGAAGCGTGTGTGCGCAGTGAGTGTCACTCTCTGGTTTAATGTGTGGCAGATGAATGAATGAATGAATGGAGATGTTTGTGTGTATGCGTAGTGCATTGATATGGACAGGTACTCGATGGAGAGAGCGTCGGTTAGTTACGTGTGTTGTTGCATAGTGAGCTGGTTAAACACAGGTGGAATTTTTTTCCCTCTCCCAAGGCTACTACTACTGCTACTCCTAGGGGTCGTAATTAGTCTACAGAAGCAGGCTTCAACAGAATTTCTCGGTGGAATCTCATATTTACTCTTGTGACATTATGGTAAATGTAAACATTTCCTAAATTCTTGCATATTTTCCACGGGCCTAAAGTGCCTCAAATTACTATAAAATTACATTTATAGCAGCATCTGAAATTGTGGGAAAGGGGGCAGGACAAATGTTCTTGAACTTTCTAATTCTTTAAAATAGACTATTTTTCAATATATATTTTGAAATGTTACAATGCAATTCAATACAATCATTAACATAATTAGAGGCCTAAAACAGTTATTCCTACACTTCATATAATTGTCATAGCATACAAAATACTGTTCTCATTCAATTATAAATTATTGCTTGCTAAAGAAGTCTACATTTTTGTAAGGGATTTACTGTATGTCCTTTACCACTGATGACATATATAGCTCAACTAAGATCTAAGGGCAAGTACGTGACCCTTTCGCCATGGAATATTCCATCAAGAAATTTAATTGTGGGGGATTAAACCTTTGTTCTTGGTATCCTTGTAAACAAAATTAGTGCTGAGTATGTCAGCCTACATTCATATTGCCCTTTAGGATTGCAAGGAGAAAGACAAACCCAATAAAACAATAAAATACAACTTCAGATATATAACACACAGAAAGACACAAAGAAAAGAAAAGGAATGAGAAATAGAGGAAAGAAGTAGAAAGAAAGGGGAAAAAGAGAAAGAAAAGAGAAAGAAAAGAGAGGAGAAGAGAACTATTAATGGGTCACAGGGGATCAAGTAAATGTGTATGAAGGATGAAAATATATTTATGAAGACCATAAGACAAAAAGTGAGTCACAGTATAACACAACAGACGCTTTGGTTCAATAATCATCTTTGTAGTTTGTACCCAGTCCCAGATGGTATTGTTGATCAAAAATCCTGAATTTAGCTCTTTTCTCTGAATTCTCAAGGAGGTGAAAAGATCACGTAGCAAGCCAAGAATTATTGGGAAGGACAGACACACAGACCCATGAAATTGCTCCACGTCCAAGACTCCACAGTCCAGTCATACACTTGCTGAAATTGCCCCGAGGGTGAAGTATGGAATATTGGTTTACAACAAAAGTTGGCACTTCTTGATGGGGACTCTTGATAAGGAACACATGTGGCCAAGAAATTGGATTTTTGGAAAAGCCTTTGTTGTAAGTGTAACATTTTGATCAGTGGCGCATTCACCCAGAACTCTCAATGCAAGACACAGTTAAATGCTACAAAATTAGAATAAAGAAATATTGAACAAAGGAGAGAATAACATTTTTCTTTGGATTTGGGGTACAAATTATTACCAACTTTTAATGTAGCCATCTAAGAATAATTCTTATTGTGAGTAAGAATTGTTAATTTTCCAATCCTTCAGGCCCAAATTTACGGTATTCACCCAGGTATTTCCAACCCAAATCATGGTTGAAACCACTGGTTTAAAACGGACAAGCCAAAACAGGGAAATTTAACAATACAGAATGTGTCATGTCTTCCCTTACAAATCGAAAACATATATATGGATATTTGGGGTTATAATTATTTTATGTCAATTTTTGTCTCCCATAGAAAATGGTTATTGTTGTGACCATTGTTTAAGTTTAAACGGTGCTCATGAAATCAGGCCATAATGTTTATTTAAATGATTTAAGAAGCAATAATCAACATCAGGGCTTACATTAACCCCCAAATTTTGTTTAGTCGAAGCAGGATGCTTAAATATCTGTTACATAAATTTATCTTTCAATTTATTTGTTTGATAAAACAACATGATTTGTAATTATACATTTCCATCATATCTAAATTAAAGAAAATTATTTAGATCATAAAGTGTTTATAAAAACCATCTCCATCTCCCCAACCACAAAAGACATTAAACATTGTAAGATGATTCTGAGGATGATCTTCCATTACTCCTTCAATGCTCAATTGATTGCACATTCACAGACAGGGTTAGTTTTATAAGATCAAGACTATAATTGCACATTGTTATATTTGTTCTTTAAAAGTTACGCTAACCCCATAACCTTTAAAGCAGATGCTACTTCACCGCCTAATTATGTCATGCAATGCTTCCATGATGCTTTCCTGAAGACACTAATTTTAGTTTTCTTGATCAAGATATAAATAGGTCAGCATTGCTTCAGGACTGAGCTCCTTGGAAACACCCACATTTTCTGAGAGGATGGGAGGACATTTTTTAATTTGACGCCGCAGAATGACATTTATTAAATCAAACAAGAGAGGGCAGTGTTGACAAAGACAACAGGTGGCGATAGGAGGATGACGAGTGACCTTTAGAAGATGGCGCAT